TTAATTGAAATATTTGAGAATGAAATAATATTTTCACTGGAAGGCCTAGGAGGTCCCCACTTGAAAACTCTCCCTACTCTTTGCCGTGTGCCTTAAACCTAGGATAGCAGGACCATATCAAAAGGATTATGAGGAAGCCAAGTAATACTGATCAGAATAACTGTCAGCAGTCTCATCATGCTAGTGGCCTGTCTTTAAGTTTCTGCATTGTAGAGAGGGATTGGAAGGACAGCTATTAAGCAGCTTTGGGAATGCTTGTAGATACCTGCTCCCAACCTCAGGGACAGCACAGGAAAACCACAATTTTCAGCAGTCATGAACCTAGTGAAGGATGGAGCTAACCGTAAAAGAGAATGAGGAAAAGGTAGGTAAGTTAGAGATGAATCTAGAAAGTAAAAAGGTGTGATAGAAGAGACATCCTGGAGAAGTATGGGTGGATAGCTTAGTTTGCTACAGAAAATTAAACTTCCACATGTCTGTAGTGGATCATGATGGAATTTTTCAAGCTGAAGATACACTACAGTAAAAAAAAGGGAGGTGATGACAGCCTTTATCCTTGTACCTTATGTGTAGTGCTGAAGGGTTAGAGATTGCTAGACCTTCAAAGTAGTTTTAAAGTATCGTCAATAAGATGTAGCTTGGATGTGAAAGCTCAGAAGTACATTCAAAAGAAGAGATCCATGTTGTATACCCAGCAGAGAGACTGCTTCTGCAATTTGCTGCTAAAGCAAAAGTTAGTATCAAACCTTTCTTACTGAGGATTTTCCAGACCTTGAACTGATATCCAGACTTCTATGGTGTATCAAAGCAAGGGAAAGACTAGTTTGGACAGAAGGAGGAAGGTCTGAATAAAGTAACTGAAAGACCAGCACAGAATTTCCAGTAGATTGTGTGAAAAAATGGGAATAAGGAAATGGGTCTTTGGAGGAATGAGTATAGGAATGATGAGCACCCTCAGCATGTGAAAATAAGGTTTTAGTGAGAGAAATAACAGAGAAGAAATGGAGGCAAGGGAAAAGCTTTCTGGCCATATCAGAGCTGGCGGAGATAATGGCTGGTGGATAAAAAGTGTGGAATCTGAATTTCACTGCTTTCTCTAAGACCAATAGAAACTTTGTTTAAGAATTGCAGAGGATGTAAGATGAAAGCTGGAATGAAAAAAGGTTCACAGTATAGGCTGACCAGAGAAGCTCCCTTCAGGAGTGGTTAGCTATGGGAACTAGTCTGTCTAATTAGTTTAAAGATAAAGGAAGGTTATAGTATCTGGCCAAAACAGGAGGCAGCAAGCATTAAAAGGGCAAGTGCTGAGGAGGTGACTGACTTGCCCAGCTTCTGTATGAGCTCTACGGGTTTATCTTTAAAACCTACACCACCTAAGGGAAAAGCTTCAGTACTTTGTTTTCCTCTGGATAGTGAAGACTTGCAAGAAGACTGAGCCGGCTTTAACCCACCAGTGATCATGCTGCTCTTCCAACTAGGCCAGGTTAGATACATGTCCTGTTGCACAGAGAAGGAAAACATTTAACTAATAAAAATTAATGGATGGGACTTGGAAAAGGTTATAATTAGAAGATTGCTTAATTGTATCCAACAAATAGGCACAAAGTGAAAACACACTTGGCTTCCAATGAAATGTGTCAAAGCTCCTTAGGTTTTCGCAGGAAATCAGATCCTACACTTTTGGACTTCTGGGTAAATAGAAATCCCTCCAGATGACCCTACTGGTACTATGGGAAGAACAACCTTTGAAAGGGGAACATGGCAGAAGCTTAGGAAAAAGTGGTGCAGCACAGTTAAGCACTGACTGGCCAAATTCCATTACTGAGACAGTAAGTTAAAGGATAGAAATCTCTAATAGGACAGAGGAAGAGAATGCGTTAATAAACCCACTTTCATTAACAGATTTATTTGTTTATTTATTAAAAGGGATGCCTTTGGTTAGCCCATTGGCCTCTCTTTTTCTCTAGTGTCTGCAAGTTTGTACTTGCTGCTTTGGTGTTTAGAGCATTAGGATTATTGCCATATTCTTGAAGATTGAGAGTAAATGGGAAATCAGGAGTCCGGCCCTAATCTTATTTCCTGTTCTGCTATGCAGAGACAACCCAAAGGACCTTTGTGGTCAATAAGAAAAACATTCTCTATCCTTCTATTTAGAATGTTTTTTTACTTTCCTTAGTTGCTCAGCCTCAATGATCAATGTTGGGAGCTAGCACTGTATTTATTTTATTATCTTTATTTCTGGCCTTTTCTCTGTGAATGGTCAGCCCCATATCTCCTGTCCTCATCCTGTGCACTGGGGTCTGTAGTTAAAGTGCTCAGGTATAACAGAAGGAGAAACTGCTGAACAGACTCCTTTCTCCCTCCCTGTTCCATCTCAGTCTCCCAAGCCTGGCTCAGGAACTTGTATTTCTCTAGCCCCATCTCTGGCTACCACAGCATGTGTCTGTGCATGTGGAAGATGTGATGCAGGTGATATAGCTCCTGTCCTGATCAAAGATGTCCACTGGGAAGAGCACAAAGGGGAGAAATTGTTTTTTATGCTATGGCAGAAAAGGTTCAAGGAGCCAGATTGAGACAAATATTGAGAGTCATGGAGTTTTTAAACAAACAGATCTCCTTAGCTATGTTTTTGTTGAAAAGAAAAATGCAACAGAAAGAGGTCTTTCTGTACAACAGCCACTCTAGACCAGCATATAACTGATGTGTTTAATCCTAGTAAAATCAATTGATGGATGAGGTAAGAAGATGATGTTGCTATAAGCAGTAATTCCTCCAAAGTTGATCAAAACGTGATTTAATTGAATATGCTCTTTGTTTTTGTCAGTGGTACTGTTTTGTGCTCTAAGCAGAAGAGGATGAGATCTTCAGCACATATTGTCCTCCTGGATCATACATTTATGATCAGGTTTCTTGATTTCAAGTTTCCAGTTTATTATAAACTAGGTGAGGGAGCTACCCTTCACTTCTCTATAGGCATGTTGAACTCTCGTATTTCTTAATACGCTCTTATTCAGAAAATTCTATACCTCTACCAAGTCACCTCTACCTAATTGATTTCCTACAAGACTTTTTCTTCAATTCTTCTGAAGCCACTTGTAAACTTAATAACCAGTTTTTGAATGTTGCACTGATTTCATTGAATTATTCATAGTTTGGGTGATAATCTGAAATGTCATCTATCTGGAATGAATAAATAGCATTAGTAATTTGATTAAAGTTATATGGCCTCTTTTTGAAATGGTAATTCTTTACTGTTATTTTTAAAGTATCTCTGGGAACAGTCAAACAAATGCACAATTTGAGGCCCCTTCTTGAAGCTATGGTAATCTACTGTCCAGCTTCAGATTTTGGTTATAAATATCTGTTAACCCTGGAAACACATACCTCTTCAGCAAGCTGCCTAGTTTCTTCTGGGTTAATGCTTGTAAAAATGTTTCTTATTTATTAAGGTTAAACAGTAACTGTTTGTTTTCCATTCAATATTGTAAAACAATCATGACATGAGATTGGTACATTCTGCTGAAAAATATAGGCCCAGTTAGTTCATTATTTTTTTGTCAACTCTTTGTCCAGGTGTGCATGTACAGACTTTGACAGCTCCAGCTTTATTTTTATGAATTCAGTTTTAACTCTGAAGGCTGGAACAACCTAGTGTATAATCTATTATTCCAGTGGTATTTTTTGCAAAGCTGAAGTAAGACCAAGTAATCTGTTGTATCACATATATGTTTCCTTTTAAAAAAAAATGACAATTATATATTTGTCTGAATTTGAGGTATTGAACATTTCTAGGTTGTAACATCTCTGGACTGAACAAAGAGTTGTGCGCTGTGGATCCTCAGCTGAACATTGTTTTTTTATAACAACTGATGTTTTAGGCAAGTAGAGCCTCAATGTGATGTTAACCAGAATATTATCTGTTTGGATTTTCTTACATAATACTCTTTGCTGTTACTTCCAGAGTTCGGCAGCTGTTAAACAAATATTGTCTCAGAGTGTCTGCAGATTTCAGTGTTTAATTTCCTCTGGGCTATAGTTTGTCATTTAACAAAATATTAAGTATTTAATGTCGATCAATAGGAAAAGAAAGTAGCTTCATTAAATCATGTCCTGGAAAAGCCATATATTTGTAATCAATGTTTTCTCTAGCTTTCACTCCAAAAGAGGCTATGTAGGAAGCAATAGTTATTTTTAAGGTATAAATTACTTTTTTACTTCCTGGCATACTAAAAATATCAGGAGGTTCATGGATAGGCCAGCTGGGTAATGCCTGTGCTGCTCTCTGAGGAGCTCAAAACAGACTCTTGGTAATGGCTTCTTTTTCCTAGTGGAAATTCCGAGTTCTTGTGCCCAAGGTATGTTTTTTTTTTCTTAATGCTGTTTACTTAATGTTGTTTTCTAGCTAAGTAATAACCTCTGTGTGAATCATTATCTACTTTGTCTCAAACTACTAGTGACCACTTTGTGCAACTGTTTAAAAATGGGATTGGCATTAGAAATTCTAGCAGGCAAAGAATCTACAGATGAGCCACTAAGTAGACCAAGAGCTAGAAATCTCTGACAATTCCTTTTAGTTGGAGACGTGTTTACAAGTTTATTAAGGATGTTTGCCAACTTCTGGACTTCACCTAAAAGGCAGAATTCCCACTGCATCTGGGATTTAAACCTTAAACATGCAAAAGGAGTGAGCAGCCTGTGACAGTGCGTGTAAACATTTCATACGTGTAAGGGGAGAAAAAAGCACAAGGAACAAACAGTAATACCCCCTATCTGTTTTTAAGAAAAAGTCCACTGAGGATGAAACTCAATGCTCTGTCCAGAATGAGCTTTGAACACAAGGTTGTCAAGCAGTGCTCCTAACCCTACTCCCACACATGACTCTTATTGAACACATAAGCAAATACAACTGTTCATAAGCAGTTGTATTATGAACTTTGAATTTAATTAAATAAATAAATTTTCCAAGTAATTCTTTAATTTTCTTTTTCATAACTGCAAAGCAAGAGATGCTATGGAAGCAGAGGAAATGAAACTATTGAATCAAGAACTTTAGGATATAAATAAAATGTGCGCACTATTAATTCAACTGGTTTCCAAATGAACAATCTAATCTCTTGTCTGTGTAATTTCATTATCGGCAATTTGAAAGGACCCAAATGCTTTTCCTCTAAGGTTTTAACAGCAGATGTGGACCAGACTAAGTGTGCTGATTGAAAGAGATTGTTTTTCCAGTTGCCAAGTAACAGGCAGTTTTCTTAGAGAATGCAGTGTTGTGCTGACAGCCTCAGCGTCGCCCTGTTCTCCTGCAGGGTTTAGGAAGTCAGTGTTCTTGTAAGTAAGTTACCCAACAGTAGTGGCACTAGCTCAGCTCTGCTAATGGCTGGAGAGTACCAGTAGGCAGTTGCTGATGTTCAAGCATGTTGAATGTTAGAGGTCTTTTGCTCAGCTGATGACGTTATTATCTTCAGGAAAGGGAATTAGATTTTCATGAAGAAAAGAAGATACATATTTAAGTGAAGTTTGCTGTTTGAAAAAGAAAAGCTTAGTAGACTAAAAATAAACCCATTTCCAAGCTGGCTGCCAGCTACTGTGAACAATTATTTGCTCATGTTGTACGAGTGCTGTGGCTGTACTTTGTAAGTTTGCTCCCTGATGCAGGTGATCCTGCAGTACTGTTGATGTCATATTACTGATATCAGAAAGTGGGTCAGGAAATCCTGAATCTTTACCTCATAAGACTAATGAGCCAAGATTTATGATTACCTTTGACTTAAGAATGCTTAATGGAATGGATTATGGGTGTTTGACAACCTTTTCTGATGTGGTGTACTTCTAATGGTATTTTCTTTTTTTCCAATTATAAGTATTCCACTTTGTAACTGAGGTTTTTGTTTTTCTTAAATTGCAGTCATGATTTTTGTCAATCGTTCATGCCTCCTTGTATTCACAGCTGCTTGTTTCCATCCCAATCTTCCCACCTTCCTATTTCTAGTCTACCAGCTTGCTGCTTACTGCACTTCTGCTCTGTAAGTCTCTTCCATGTTCTCCCTACCATAGCCATGAAAGCTAACCAGGAAAACATATCTTCTTAAGGCACCCATTTCTCAGCTTTATATGGACCCTCTGCTCCCTCAACAGTCTTGGAATCAGCAGGTGCCAAGGAATGATAGATCTGCTTGTATGTGCTAAGCAAACAACTTTTTCCCCTCTCTTCTTCCTGAGCCTAACTCATCCCTATGAAGGTGCCTGATGCCCTGGGCTGGGGGCTGCCCCTGGGCCGTTCTGCTCCTTGCTCTGGTACAGGAGGAGAGGCCATGTTACCGCTCCAGAGGAGTAGCTGCCCCCCTGCATGGTGCCCCTGGGGCTGCATGCTTGGAGGACAGGAGAGGTTCCAGTTGCCTGCTGGCTTGTGGCATGTCTCTGGGCTCTGTGGCTGCCTGCATTTCAGCACTGATGGCAAGAGGAGCTTCTATTGGAAGCATTAATTTGAAAAAAATCACAGTCTGCTTTAGCAATCTGTTGTGCTTAGCCTAATGGAAAACATGCCAACCTCCACCTCTCTGCGTCCCTCATGCCCTTTGGAGAGGCTAGGCTTCCTGACTGACTGGTATCTATGTTTCTATTTGTGACGTACAGAGTCATCTGTAGCAATTACCCTTAGAACAAGATGCTTCACTTTCAGCAAACCTTATTCTGAATGATGTGAAGAATTAGTACAAAAGAATTTATATTAGAGGTCAGAAAAGGATCTAGAGGGCTAAAGCGAAAATTGTGTGTGCAATATATCCACCTGCATCTGAGAGCAGCCTCCAAGACCTCTGCTTGACCACTTACCCAGATATCCACAGGTGTGTATGTTTGCGCCATACAAGATTTTGTAAGCTCCTGGAGTTGCACTCGGCCTGCTCAGAGCCACTGCAGTTGTGGGTGAGCATCTCTGCACCATGTCCCCTTGTAAAGCTGTCTGGGATTCCTCATGCAGAGCCTGCCTGTAGGGCTGATTTGCAAAATGTGATGTGAGCTTGAGTAAGATGAAGTGATAAAAAGGAGGTCAGCAAAAAGCACAGAACTTGCAGACCTGCTGTCATGGAAAATTACAGTAAGTTGCAGGAGGGAGCATTGTTATTAAATAGCCTGGAGGCCCTTGCTAGGAGGTGAGAAATGAGCTCAGCACCATCTACAGTCAAAAGGAACTGCAGGTCACATTTTCCCCTAGACAGGAAACCTTAAACTCTGCAGGTCATCTGTCTGCTGAGGGGAGCCCTTTACCTTTCTGTGTGAAGAGCAGCCACGGTGTACCAAGAAGATATGCATGGGGCCAGGAAAGCCTGACACTGTGGTCTCAGCATAAGATGCATTTCCTCCAGGGGGCATATGAAGATCTCGTTTCTGGTTGCCCAGGCAGAAGCTGCTTCTACATTTTGCACAAATGCTGGGAAAGTGGAGGTCCATCCCACATTTGTACAAAGTAGACTGAGTCTACCTCTTGTGCCCTGCGTTGCTGCTGTGGTATCGATTGTAAGTGTTCTTTCCTGAAGAATGATGTAGACATTTCATTCCAAAGTAGATTTGGTCTATAATTTGATATTTGAATTGTGTTAAAGTCTGAAGAAACTTTTCAGGCATTCTTCCACATAGATGTGAATGGTAGCAACAGGTGTTGAAGCGTTTCACTGCACAGAGGATGAAAGCACTCAGTTCAGGCTTGCAAATTCCATTCCTATAGCTGAGCACCACCTGTATCATGAAGTGGAGCAGCCACCCTACAAGCCTCAGCACAATCTAACTGAGGCTGTCATCATAATACTCAAGTAAACTGTGAGATGAATTAGGGCTGTAATATAGAAAGCCCTGGAGATGATGTGATTTGCAAGATAATGTAGTTACTTACCATACAATGGAAAAGTATACTTGGCATTTTGCAGAGATAAACATTGCAACTTGGCATTTCTCTAAGCGATGAATTTGCACCTGAAAATATCATTACACCTCCTTTTTATCAACACTTCATTGCTATTTGGAGCAACGAAGTATTGACACATGAGATGTATCTCTTCTTTTAATTTGAAGCTACTAGACAGGTCAGCTGAAATTTTCTTCCCTTCTCTCTTTCGTCAGACCTCAAGTTCAGTCTTTGAAAAGCAAATATTTTTAATATTCTGGGTGAACTACCGGGTTAAATTCTCAAGTTTCTTGTCCCTCAGACAATTTGGTAGTCAGAATAGGTAGAGAGACATATGCCCTTGTATTAGCAACTGTGCTTCCTAGTTTTCCATCTAACCAAAATAATTTTTAAACAGCCTGCTGTGGGTCTGGGTTCAAAATATCCATTTTTGAGAATCAGAAACATTTGACTTGAATCTACAGTAGCTAAATATAAGAAGTGTAATAGTCTCTGCTCCATCACAACACTGGAAGAACTCCAAAGGCCTGGGTTGAAGAAAAGAGATGAGATGTCCATACATGGGGGTAAAAATAGCATGAGAGACTGATCGGAAATAATACATTCAGCCTACAGCCATTAAAGGGAAACAGAAAGTCAAAGCAAATGCCTTTTGATGCTTTGTTTATGAGACTTCTCAGAAGTGCTTGTTCTTACTCTGTCACTCACTATCTATCTTGAAGCTCAGGTTATTCTCCCAGGCAAGGGAGCAGTACTTAATGCATCCTTATCCCTCTTTCACTAAGGCACCTGCCCGAACTTGCCTTGAGTACCCTTGCAGCTTGCTTAGCAAAGAACTGTTTACCAAATCAAAGCATCTCTAAGATCTATCTTGTTTCTATCAGCTACACAGCATGAAATTGCACTTTGTTACCATAAAAACCTTACATCAGTCCTACCATTCCTGCACTTATCTTTTCTGCTGCTTTGTTTCTCTGTCTGGCACTCGGCTCTAACAGCTCATTGCTGACTCCTAAGCACTGTGTATACAGTTGTTCTCATCATTCAGCTACAGAAAAGCCCTTCAGGGGCTGCATTTTGATCTTCTGAGAAAACTCTTTTCATGACTGTCATCTCCCTGGCATTTCTCCCTTTATGGTGCTGAAGATAAGTAAAATTGCATTTTCTTCAAGTTTTAACACATCTATAAATTGTGACAGTACCAGGTTATGAAACTATGAAAGATCTCCTGCTTCACTTATTTGGTGGTTTCAATTTTTTGTTTTTTAAGGGCATCATGTTTTAGTTATCACTTTTCATGCATTTACCCCTCTTCTAAGGTGTAGTACATGCAGCTGTAATATGTTTGTTGCAAAAGTCTTCCTTGCGATCAGCATGCACAGAGCAAGCTGGTTTTTGTGGTGGCTCTGCAATGGGATACAGCTGCAGAGCACACCCAGCAAGGCAATATGAAGGAAACTTTTCACCAGTTTTAAAACAATGCCTGGAATTACAGGATCCTGATCCTTTTCTAACTTTAAACAAATGACCTTGAGCTTCTTAAGGAGGATTTTTTGTGTGCTTTGTTATTTTAAGTTAGTTATGTCTGAAGGGAGCCACATGCTGCAATCTTCAGCTTAAATTAACAAGCTGTAAAAAAGGTTGCACAACTGTGTGCAAATAGACAGCTGCTGAAGCCACCCAACCATCACAGAGCCAAATCTGACAGAAATAAACCAGCAGAAACTATATTCATACTTACTCAAACTTCAGAATGACATAGGGGTTATTTTCCTCCTTTATTTTCTTTCCTTCCTTTCTAGGCGAACTGATCCAGATGCTCTCTTGGAGGGGGCAGACAGTCCTGAGAAGAGCCTTGTTTATGAGATGTAAGGGCTCTCTGAAAGAAAAGAAAAGCCAGGTCAGTGCTATTCTGTTCAAGACTTGTTTGCAATTGTGCCTTTGTGTGCATGTGTTAAGTGTGTGTGAACCTGTAAGGTCTGTTGCTATCTTGCATCTTAGCTTTTCCTCAAACGGTGATTATTCAGAAAAGAATGTGGGACACTGAGCCTGTCACCGAGTTGCTGTATTCCAACATTCTACCACTAATTCTGGCCTCACACAGGATGTGTTTGGTATACAACATGCCCTTCTTAGAGTCAATCTGAGCATGAAATTGGACAAATATCCTATGACATCTGTTTTAGGTGCCCTTTTCTGAAATGCCCTTACTTGTTTTGCAGAGAAAAATAGTGAGGAATATTGCCCCTTTGCGAGCAAAATGAGGTTGAAGAAACAATGAGTTCTTGCATCTGTTGACACTATGACTGGAAGGCA